TCCTTTGTGTTGGAAGATCTGTGCCTCTCCATGGCTTGAGAGACTATCTCCCTCCCCAGATTGGGGAAGTTTTCAGCAATCTGAAAACACTTTCTATCTCTTTTTCTCTCTCTTCTTCTTCTGCTACCCCTATAATGCGAATATTGGTCTATTTGGATTGGTCACACAGTTCTCTCAATATTCTTTCATTCTTAGAGATTCTTTTTTCTCACTGTGCCTCAGCTTCTTTGTATTCCTCTTCTCTAATTTCTATTCCATTTACCATCTCTTCTACTACCTCTAATCTGCTTTTAAATCCCTCTATTGTATGTTTCATTTCAGATATGGAATTTCTTAATGATTGAATCTCCATCTTAAATTCATCCCTGAGTTCTTGAATATTTTTCTGTACCTCCGTAAGCATGTTTATGATTTTTATTTTGAACTCTCTTTCAGGCAGATTGGTGAGTTAAGTTTCATTTGACCCTTTTTCTGGGGTTTGTGAGATTTTGGTCTGAACCATGTTCTTTTGACGTTTCATATTTCTGTGTGGTGCCCACTAGTGCCCAGAAGCTCCAGTCTCTGGAGCTGCTCAGCTCCTAGAGTGAGGTTGGAGGTCATAGGGGAGTGGAGTTGGTGCCTGGGGGAGGAGAGATCTGTTTCCTGATTCCCGTCTGTGGTGCCATCTCCGGTGTCAGAGCCAGTGAGCCGAGCACACAGATGTAAGCCTCTGTGCTTGGCGTCTCTAGCTGTTGTAGGCGGGGCGCCCCTCTGATTGGCCTGATGCCAGTGCAGTGACTGCCGGTTTGAGAGTTGGTGCCGTCAGGCCAGGAGGAATGTTCACCAGGCTGTGTGTCACAGTGGGGGGCTTCGGAGCTGAGTAGGCAGCCAGGGGGATGGAGTGCCTGAAGCTCCTCAAAGTTCCCAATCTGCTGGGCAGAGTGCACCCAGACAACCTTGTCCCCCTGTCCCTTCTCCTGCGCAGCAAACTCTTTGCAAACCCCGCCCCTTCAGCAGCTCTCTTGCTGCTAGGAAGCGTCTCAGTCCACCTGTCTTTCCCTTGTCCCAGAGTGGCTGGGTGTGGATCCCGTCCTCCACAAATGGCCAGAATCTGTCTCTCAAGGCACTCCGCCTGTCCCAGCTCCCCAGCCTCCAGGGCACCACACCATGCAAAGCAGACCTCCAGGGCTGGGTGTTCAACAGCCCCAGGCTTCCGCCCCCTCCCTGGCTCCGTTTCTCTTCCTCCTGCCCATGAGCTGGGGTGCAGGAAGGGCCTGGGTCCCGCCAGATCAAGGCTTTTGTACATTACCCTGTTTCATGAGGTCTGCTCTGTTCGTGAGGTCTGCATGCAGTCTGGTTCATCCTTCTTTCCTGTTGTTGTTTTAGGGTTAGTTGTATTAACTGTATTTTCACACTATCTGTGGTTTTGGGAGGAGTTCGTCTTGAATCTTCTGTTCAATTTCCTTCTATATTGCCTAGTGCACGCAGTAGTCTCTGTGTAGTAGATTCTCAAATATTGCTTTGATTAGAGCTTGCGATGAGAGTAAAGAAAATTGGAAAGGATGGATTTAGTCAGCTCTTTTCACTGGCTGCTTTCATCCTCTGCAGTAACAATTATACAACCAGATTTAAACAGGTTTAAGAGTTCTGTTTAACACAGAGAATGGACTATTACCCAGTAAATTTAATGGCTTTATAATGTGCATTTCTGATTTTCACAGGGGAGACACTTGAAGAACAAGGAGTGACACACAATGTAAAAGCTATGGTGCTTGAACTAAAACAGTCTGAAGAGGACATAAGAAAAAAGTTCCAGGCTGAAGAAGAAGAGCAAAATAAAGTTAAACTAAAAGAGAAAAGAATTCAGAGGACCAAGAGGGGCCTGGAGATACTGGCAGAGAGAGGTACACAGAGCTTCGAGCTCCCCTCATCACTCAGGTTCTCAGAGGCAGCAGTGGGTCGTGTAACTCATTTGTCATTGGCTTTTCTTCCCCAGCAGCCTAATGTTAGTGGCACTGTCACTGTTTTTTAATGTAGAACTTACAGAGATCCTTTCGGTTTTATTGCAGATGAGATGGTGGTGGATCCAGAAACCACACCATACTTAGACATAGCTAACCAGACGGGCAGATCAATCAGAATTCCTCCATCAGAAAGAAAAGTGAGTACACTGTGGAATTTAGGGGTTGTCTTTGATTTGCTGTCAGAGCAGAGGTAGTTTCTGGTTATTTGATGTTGGAATGGTATGAAGTATTGGAACGAGTTTTCTGTCTCCAGCTTATAAACACAGAAGTATAACCACATGATGAGCATTTGCATACAGCTGACTCTGCCTGCGGTTTTCAGTGCAGTAGTACACAGTGGCGTGACTCTGCTGTCCTGGGGCAGGGACTTTGCATATTCCTGGCGATGTGATGCACTGCTTGCAGCCTAAGTGGCTTACTGTGGCAGTGATCGTTCTCATGTGGTTTACGTTATTAGAGGGCCATGTTCCCTAAGGGATCAATCAGGTCTGACAGGTGATTCTGCCATCTCATCCCTGTCTCCCCATTCCCCCTTTTCCTGATCTATAATTTGGAATAGATGGGAGGTGGTTTTACCTTTGAATACATCCAAGGGGTCTTTATAGCAGCATTCTGTAGCTTGGACCCTGAGATTGAGTCTCTGAGTGAGGGTCTAGTGGCTTCTTATAGTGAAGAGCTCTATTGACTATGGGTTGTTAATTTTTCTGCCTTTAAAGAACAGGTTTGAGTAGCCTTTGCTATGTGAATTACTCTGTTTGAAGTGAAAAATTAAAGTTCTGTTTCAATAAGAACTTTGTAACTATCAGTGGATTTTTTTTAAAGTTGGCAATTATTTGCCCACTGCTCTTATACTAAATGATGCTACTCAGAAATTTTTGAAAAGCCTTCACAAGACTGAATTATCTAATAATATTAATGAAAATAAAAACTTTTTGGATTACCTTTTAAAAATTGTTTTGGAAGTACCAGGGTTGACAAATACTTCAGAGAAAACTTGATGAAGGACAAAGCAAAGCGGATGTTCTTTCTGAAGAGGACACAGTACACTGGCTGCTCTCACGTGCATGGCCCCTGCGCAGTCAGCCCAGATCAGCAGGTCCTAAATAAGCCTGTGACAGCAAACGGCAGGAGCTGGTCACCACACCAGCCACGTTAGATTGAGGGTGTGGCATTAGTGTTTAAGTAAAATAAAGCTTTAATTATATTTCTCTTAATGTTGGCTTTTAGATTTAGTTGTAATCTTCTTTTGTTTTGTTTTTATTTGATTTCTTTTGACTTAATATGCTTTTAATATAATTTGTTTTTTTATACTTTAAAGTGATGTTTTTTTTAATATCTGTATTTTTTCTAGGCTCTTATGTTAGCTATGGGATATCATGAGAAGGGCAGAGCTTTCCTGAAAAGAAAAGAATATGGGATAGCCTTGCCATGTCTGTTGGATGCTGACAAATATTTCTGGTAGGCACTTCTTATTGACGAATACCAGTTTTAAGGAAAATGGCCCAGATTATGCACAGCACCCTCCTGCCTATATACTTCAGACTTCAGGTTTTTACCCAAGACAGTGGTTAAAGTAAAAGAGGAGTTATGATATAGACCAATGGGAATTATTTCTTCCTCTGATATTTCTAACTGGTCTCTAGCTGAGGAACTTTTTGCAAGCATGTAGGGTGTCATGCCTGTGTTCTGTGATGTGTTACTATGGCCTACCCGCTACACAGTCTCCATCAACGTCCCACCTAATGGTCTTGGTGTAGGGGTTGTTGATCATTCCCCAAATCCATTATTTCACTAGGGGCTACAAAACGGTGATACCTTACTGTTCCCTCTGCATTTCTTGCAGGGATTCTTCTGAAAAGAAGCATTTCTTTTCATCAGCTATTTATGATGCTGAGGTACAATTTGTACAGAAAGAATAAAATGTTTGGTTTTCTTTCTCCTTCTCCTTATGTTCTTGTTTTCAGAAGAAATTAATTGCTTCCCTAGGATCCTCTAAAGATGACATCACCAAAGAGGTTTTCTTCCCTTTTTTTAAAAATCATCAACACAAACTCATGGATTTTAACATATTTGATATGTTTCAAACCTCAGTGCTTAAATTGATCAACTTTGGCCAGTGGGAGAGTCCTGTGCCCTTTGACCTGATCCTGGTAGTTGCTGGTCCCCAAAGGTATTCCAGACTCATCCTGGACATTAACTGCCCCTGACCAGGAATCAGCAATTTCCCAAGGACTGCTGGTTCCTCTTAATGGGAAGTGGTAGTGAGAGACCTAATCCTGGCAGGTGAAACATTTGAAAAACAGACTTGATATTTAAAAATGGTTAAAAGTTAACAACTTTGGTATTTTCTTTTTCATTTTGATGAATTCCTAACATACAGTGTACACTTCAAGAAGATAAATACAAATGTGTATAGATTACCAAGTATATTGGCAGGACCCTTGGATTTTAAGTGAACAAATCCCAACTTTAATTTAAGCAGAAAAGGGGATTTATTGTCTCAATTTGGGAGTGGGGCAAAGCTGGGAAGACCTAGAACGAGGACTGGGTGCCTCCTTTCTTTCTCTGCCTCCTTGTCTCTGCTGCTTTCTGAGTATCAGTTTCATTGTCTTTGGCTGCAAAATAGTGCAGGCTGTAAGTTAAAACTTAGGTAAAATTTTTATTTCCTAACACAGTTGTTTTTAATATTTTATTACAGACGATTTCAAATATATAAAAGTATAAAGATTAGTATAATGAATTCTCATATACTCATAATCCATCTTTAGCAGTTATCAAAACATGATTGGTTTTGATTTGTTTGTGTGAGCCTTTCTCAATCTGTTTTTAGCCTGGATAAATCCTTGAAGTAATTTTCAAGTCTCAGGGAACCCCTGAATAAAAATAACTATGTCTTTACCTCACAGTACGTTAACATGTTCAGTAAGTAGTAGATAATAATAATCCAATAAGGATTGTCAGTGATTTTTTTCTGAAGATCTGTTTATTCAAGCCAACTAATTAGTGTAATTTTGTGCGTTCCCTCTCCTTGGAGGTCAACACTAATGGAAGTTGGTAATGTATGTGGAAGAAACTTTAGTTCTGTTTCCATTCCTACTTGATGTTTTTTCTACATTCTCTAAGTAGGCTAAAAGTTCTGTCACAACTTTCTATTATGTATCTTGGGGAATGGTCTGTAGTATGGCCAAGAGTAGATTCTTTCCCTATTTAAAACTAAAAATGGAAGTTCTGCTTTGGTCAAAATGGGTAACAGAAACTGCTTTTACCCTCTCACCTGTAACAACTGAAAATCTGGGCAAAATGTGTGAAAACTTGTTTTCTGGCAGTACAGGGCAGCGATCTCCACCAGAAGGGATAAGGAAGCCTTGTGACTGGTTCAGCTCACTGCCTGGAGAGTCAGTGAGCATCAGTGGGCATCAGAGAATTCAGAGGGTATTGCCGCAGGTGAAGGGCAAAGCGAGCCCTAAATTAAGCTGCTCTGGGCCCACCTAACAAAGTTTAAAAGCAAGCATTGAAAGGGTCACACTTAAGTGTCCAGGTAACTTAACTTCATTGCAAAGCTCAGTAATACTTAACAGCAATACAAAAATATCCAATGTCCAATTAAAAATTAACAGGCAGAAGGGAAAAAAGGTGGAGTGGAAGGCAAGGCAGAAACCTCCCTCCACATACACACAGCAAGGAAGCAACTACAGCAAACAGCTAACCCTGAAATTGACCTGAAGGCTGCAGGACAGACCACCTACTCCTGGGGAAGAAAAGCCCACCAGAGAAGGGTAAAGTGGCAGAGCCATGATCAGCCAGGACCCCAGCCCTTCCCTCCTCCCAGCCCACAGGTGGGAGGAAAAGGAATGGAGTGGGGAGGGGATAAGCACTCAGGAGCTCTGCACACCTGGCCCTGGACATCTGCTCTCAGAGCTCAAGTCCACATTGCACTGGGTTCTGTGAGGTTGGAACACTCTTGTGGGGCTGACACTCCTGCCACTTGTAGAGGGCAGGTATGCACCCCTGGTCCCGCTGAGACCCAAAACAGAGATGGCAGTTTGATGAAAAGATTTGCCAGTAGCAGGAAGGGTGCCAGAGGGGTGAACGTTGGATGGAGTGCTCTCTGCATGGTAAAGGGCAGGTGGGTGACACTCCCCAGCCCTCCCTCAGCCCAGCAGGTTGGGCACTCTTGGAGCTCCAAATGCTCCACCCTCCTCGCTGGTGGTGCAGCCCTGTGGCACTTCCCTGTGCACTGCCCACTCAGCCCAGCAATGTCAGCCTGGCAGGCAGAGGGAGCCTTTTCCAGAATTCTCAGCCCAAGGGGAGGCATCTGTAGGAGCCAGCTCTGAGAACTTCTTTCCTCGCAAGCAGCCCAGTCTGGTGGCATGCATCCCTCCAGCGCCCTGCAGCTGTGCACCCTGCAGCTGCACAACTCACTGCCATGTGACCATGAGCCCTGACACTATGAGAATCACTGTTGAGCACCTGCCCCAGAGCAGTGCAGCAGCCCCGCCCACCCCTTTAGCCTAGCAGGGTGCCATCTCTGCAGGGCAGTCAGAGGGCTGCCCCACCCACAACAGTCCCAGCAGAAGCTACTGCTCTGATCATGAGGGGCCAGCTGAGGCAAACTGCTGGCCCCGACAGAAGGAGACCATTGCAGACAGAAAGGCA